GGTTGATCTTTAGAGAGAAAAGAACGAGAGAGCAATTTGTAAATTATAATAATCTCAAAAGAAATAAAAACAAAACCACAGTGGATGTAGCTCTTCATTTTATAAGAGTGAACTACTATAAGCCTTGTGTGTTTTTCTACTTTAAGTATTTTTTCTTATATTGCTCACTACACAAAAAATATCACAAGCACATCAAACTCCTACATATAACCTATTTTTAAGCCGGTAATCCAACGGAAAACCCAGAGATAAATCGGTCTGTTTTTGTTGGCGAAAATTCACTGTCAACATGCAGAAAGGTGAAGAAAGAGAATTTGTGCAGTTAATGCCAGAAACAAACTAACTTACGTGTGATGTGTCAATTTTAATGAGGTGTCAAATATTGATTAGGGAAGACAGAGGATCAATGATCAGGTCGTTTGCAACTCGTAAGGTGCACGTGGTTTTGTTTTATGACTTTTGGTTTCCGTTTCCTTCTGGAAGGCAAATGTACCAGATGCATGTACGTAAAAGTTTTCTTCTTTTTGACCTTTTGCTGTGTTATTTAGCGATATTCTACTAAGCAAGTGAGAAAACACCAATATGTTATTTCCCAATAGATTTTGAAGCATTCCTAGTTCTTTTGGAAGGCACATTAATCTATGATGATTTACTACGTTTTCTACTTCAAGCTACAGTTGAAGTACTGGTGATGACATGCTTGGCCTTAACGCCATCTCTCACCTTGGAGAGGATTTTTTTATTTTATATTTTTTTTATACTTTTTATTTTGGCTAAAAATCTCACTTGGAGAGTATCTTTTTATCTTGATCGCGCAATACCTTTCTTTTTTTTTTTTTTGTTTTGTTTCTTTTTATTGAAGAGGAAACAAAATATATTCTGAAAAGAAAAACCTATAATAATATTGTTCTAAATTCTAATACTATTTTGTCGGTAATATTTAGCTTCAATAGAGATATATGTTTGTGCAAAGGTCACGGCATTTGTAAAATATATTGACTTTATTAACTAAAATAATGTTAAGGCTCTAGTTTGAATCCAGCTGTTTAGTAAATATATATCGATATGGATATCTATGTTGATTACTCTTTTTTTTTTTTTTTTTTTTTTTTTTTTTTTCTTTTTGCTCGAGTTGTATAATATTATAATGTTGCCGTTATTATATTAATTAATGACTTTGGAGACGGTTTTGTTAGTTGGATAGGGATCGAATTTGACCATTGACACCGGAAATAATTCATCACGTGTTCGATAATATGTGAGAATACATACATAGAGAGAGAGAGAGAGAGACTAAGTAGCATATATAATTAAAACTGGGACGACACTAAGTAAAAACCATACTTGTAGAAGACAATACTAAGACAATACTTGTAGACTTAAAACTGGGACAATACAGAAGACAATACTTAAAACTGGAACTTATTGAAGCGACACTAAGTAGCATATAAAATAGAGAAGACAATACTTGTAGAAGAAGGCAAGTAAAAACTAGTACAACTTATAACTGGGACGTACGTACCTTGCATATATAAATCTATAATTAATTACTTAAACTCAATGGCAAAGCCCATTAAGACGTGAATGTTGGGACGATCTCGCACTTGAACCCTAATAATATCCTCATTCCCACGTCTCTCCTTCCAGAAGTAAACGGTCTCGTCAACTCTAAGTCTATCAGCTCTGACAAACTGAAGCCATCCACGATTCTGAAACACAGGCTTCAAGTAAGGTTGATCATCTTTGATTTTCCGTGTTCTCAACACAAAAGCGTGCTCGCTGCCATTTTGGCCAACAACTGAAATTGTTGCCTCCGAGTTTTGCTCTATACTGGGTAGTAAACTTCCCAGCCAATCAATCGGGACGATGAACTTTTGGGTTATGTCAAAATGGCAGAGGCTTTTTGAGAACAACGCCATGGGTAAATTAAATAAGATAGACGACAAGTAAAAGATATATTTGTGTATATGCTGAATGAGCTATAATAAAGATAGATATATATAGCTAAATCTTGTTGCAAATTATATCATATGAATGTCCTATTTATAGTAAGTGTACTAGTGCTATCAGAAGCTCAGATATCAGTACGGACACAGAAAGGGGGCTAATTGACAAAAATTAATGACTTTTTGCCGACAAACATGTCTCATTGTAATCACCCTTTTTCTTTTTTTCTTTTTAAGTTGCTGATGGCCACGTGCAGATGTGAAGAATTTTTGTTTCATACAGCTAAATAGAAGCCACAGGGTGAGCATTATGATCACCGTACGTTCGTACAAACAAAAAATTTATCCAAAAAAGGGCTTTAGAGCTTCCATTTACTGTACACAGTCGTTTTCAATAATTTATGTTAGTGAACTTGCGGCCGGCCAAGTAGTTGTTTTCAAAATAATAATAATAATAATAATAATAATAATAATAATAATGATTTTAGCTTGATCACCAAGTAGTTTAAGTTGAAAAGCCTTTTCTTGTCTAAATATTAAAAGAAAGCAAGGAATAACATGATACAAGTGTTTAAATATTAGTGTTTCCTTTAAATATTTCGTTTAATTACGAAACTGTCTAAATTATAAGAATATAAAAATGAACCAGATATTTTATCCTTTTGGAAGACAAATGCACATGTACGTAAAAGTTTTGTCAGACATGCGCATGGCAGAAAGGTGTTTGAGTAGCAACTAACATCAAATCAAAAAGTGCCTTGATACGAAAAAGCTAGCAATTATTACACGAAAATATTCTTCTGGTTCAAAAAGCCAAGCCCTAATTTAAAAAAAAAAAGAAAAAGGGATTAAAGGATAATGATTACGCGAGAGTATTCAATCATAAAATGTACCAGATGCATGTACGTAAAAATCTTGTTCTTTTTGACATTTTGTTGTGTAATATTATAATATTGCCGTTATTATATTAATTAATGACTTTGGAGACGGTTTGTTAGTTGGATAGGCATCGAATTTGACCATTGACGCCGGAAATAATTCATCACGTGCTCGATAATATGTGAGAATACATACATACATACATATATATATATATATATATAGAGAGAGAGAGAGAGAGAGAGACTCGCATGATTCACTCTTTCTTTTATAACAACATGCATGCAACATACGACCATACCAAAACCTAGCAATCATTACATGAAGAATATTCTTCTGGTTCAAAAAGTGCCTTGATAAGAATATTATGATGATGTTTTAGGCAAACAATATCTCATTGAAAGTAACTGACGGTCGCTTATGTGAAGATATCTTTCCTGACTTTACCTAGTATTAAAAATTAAAAATTAAAAATAAATAAAAAAGGTTTGATTCTAAGATCCTGGACATATCACGTGAGAGAGTCAAAAAAGGCTTTTGGTAATCTAGGATGAATGATTGTTGGTTTTATAACTTGTTGGTTTTTTTTTTTGTTTTTTTTGAAACCCTCATCTAGTATCCAGAAAAAAGTCAGCACTGAAATTTTTTATGTTTCAAAAACTTAGTGCCTATTTAATGACAGAGCACTAGTGTATGTGATTATGAGTTGTGAAACCACATTCTAATTTGTGGCGGCGAATTTTCATTTAATGTACATTTAATTTATTAGCTAACTTTCATTTAATGCACATTTACGTAAAATTTTTGTCAGAGCTTCTGCTCTAGTATTCATGATTCAGCATTCATCTAAATCTAACTGTTATATTTCATCCACCAAATTAATGACTTTTTGCTGACAAACAAAAAAAAATTAATGATTTTAGCTTAATCACCAAGTAGTTTAAGAAACATGAAAAGCTTTTTTTCTTGCCTAAATATTAAAAGAAACCGAGGAATAACATGATATAAGTGTTTAAATATTAGTGTTTCTTTTGAAAATTTCGTTTAATTACGAAACTGTTAAATTATAAAGGAGATATAGCATGACCACACAAACAAAAATGAACGCATCATCTAACTTTCAGTCATAAGAAAGTTTTTGATGAACATTTGGAACCAGATATTTATCCTTTTGGAAGACAAATGCACATTTACGTAAAATTTTGGTCAGAGCTTCTGCTCTAGTATTCATGATTCAGCATTCATCTAAATCTAACTGTTATATTTCATCCACCAAATTAATGACTTTTTGCTGACAAACAAAAAAAAATTAATGATTTTAGCTTAATCACCAAGTAGTTTAAGAAACATGAAAAGCTTTTTTTCTTGTCTAAATATTAAAAGAAACCGAGGAATAACATGATATAAGTGTTTAAATATTAGTGTTTCTTTTGAAAATTTCGTTTAATTACGAAACTGTCTAAATTATAAGAATATAAAAATTGCTACTTTTATGATAATGGGTACGCAAAAAAAATTATAATTTTGAGAAATTGTAAAATATAGGCTATTTTTTTAAGTCATTTGTGGTAAATAGCATAATTACCAGTAGTGAAAATAAATGGCATATTTTACAATTTAAATATGCTTTTATAGAATATATATGAAAAGGCGAACAAATTAAGTAGTAGCAACCAAATGTCAAAAGTCTGTTCTATAATTTTTTTAAATTTAAAGTGAAAAATAACATTATATTGACGAAGAAATTTTCTATCCAAATATCAATAATTAACATTGATACATTAATTTGACAGCTTATAAGATATGCTTTTACAATACACTAATTCTAGGTACAAGTCTCGAATCACAAGATTAATATTAGTGCCCGTTTAATTTGTTAGTTCGAATTGTGTTGATTTGAACTTTTTTAGTTTGAATAGAAAAATCAGAGCAATATGATTTAAACAGTAGTTCGAATTGGTGTTTGGATGTGCAATAGAACTTTTAATCCGAACATGAAATATTCTTATGATCTTCTCACGCTAAAGCACCTTTTGACTTATTTTTAAAATTTTGATTATATCAATGGCGTCCTATATCTTACATGCTACCGGCACCCATCAATGGCGAAAAGTTAATAAAAAAATGAGTATAAATTTGAATTATGAATTTTACATGACTTATTTATAGTTTGGAATCAAAGGAGGCGCAGCAGGAGGGGGTTACAGTCAAGTGATCCCTATGGATGAGTTCAATCTTCATCTCACGGGAGACATCCACGCAATAACAGCCGCCAACAATCTCTTGGCTGCAGCCATTGATACTCGAATTTTCCATGAGTCGACCCAATCAGACAAGACTCTCTTGAATCGGTTATGCCCACCAAACAAAGAAGGGAAGCGCAGCTTTAGTGACATCATGTTTAGACGTTTGAATAAGCTTGGTATCTCCAAGACAAGGCCAGAGGATCTTACACCTCAAGAAGTCAAAAAGTTTGCTAGGCTAGATATTGACCCAAGTTCAATCACATGGAGAAGAGTAATGGATGTAAACGATCGGTTCTTGAGGAAGATTTCTATTGGGCAGGGCCCCGAAGAGAAAGGAACGGTGAGAGAAACAGGATTTGATATTTCAGTTGCCAGTGAAATAATGGCAGTTTTGGCCCTTACAACATCTTTAGCCGATATGCGGGAGAGGCTTGGAAAAATGGTTATTGGTAACAGCAAGGCTGGTGACCCTATAACTGCGGATGATCTTGGTGTTGGAGGTGCTTTAACCGTTCTGATGAAGGACGCCATTAATCCTACTCTAATGCAGACTCTTGAAGGGACACCAGTTCTTGTTCATGCTGGCCCTTTCGCCAATATTGCTCATGGCAATTCCTCAATTGTGGCTGACAAGATTGCACTGAAACTGGTTGGACCAGGTGGATTTGTAGTCACTGAAGCAGGCTTTGGTGCTGATATTGGTACTGAAAAGTTCATGAACATAAAATGCCGATATAGCGGTTTAACACCCCAGTGTGCAGTTATTGTGGCAACAATACGGGCCTTAAAAATGCACGGGGGTGGTCCAGAAGTTGTTGCTGGAAAGCCTCTGGACCGTGCCTACTTGACTGAGAATGTAGCTTTAGTTGAAGCGGGCTGTGTGAATTTGGCCAGGCATATTGCAAACACAAAAGCTTATGGAGTGAATGTTGTTGTTGCTGTGAACAAGTTCTCAACTGACACCGAAGCAGAACTTAATGCAGTCAGAAATGCAGCATTAGCAGCTGGAGCATATGATGCTGTTATTTGTACTCATCATGCTTATGGTGGAAGAGGAGCGGTTAGTTACTTCATCCTGTTAACAAATGTCTGTTAGCCATTTCGGAAACCTTTTGTCAATAAGGTCTTCTTCCTTGAGAATAGTCATTTGAAATGTGTGAAATATAATTGATTAATTTCATGAGCCTATGCAAGGCATCCTTTGCATTCATATGGTGTAGCTTCCCCCTAACTGAAAGAAGCCTGATATCTTGCCCTGCTCACAACCTATTTTCCAACTCATCCAGCCTGTCTTGATTGTCAATCGTGTCCCTGTGATTTAATCTGTTGTGGAAGCTCGTGGTAGTTTCGTGTTTCGATAAAACTTGTACTAATCTTGTCTTTGGCCAAAAATTCACCATCACTCTACTCACGTTGGGCGGCCAATGGATGCAAGTTTTATCAAGTTTAACAGACGAATAAATACCAAGTGAATCAGGCATATCAATTAGGTTGTGTAATTTCCATGGAAGCTGTTGATACCAACCCTTTGGCTGCCAAATTCTAAATTTGCCTTTACCTTCTCTTTCTTGGAACTATATACGATGCCCCGATTTTATTTTAGAGAAGGAGAACTGCCTAAGAGGCTTGTTGAGCTGATGATCCTAATTATGATTTTCATTCTACAGGTTGACCTTGGGGTTGCTGTTCAAAAGGGTTGTGAAGATGTTGCACAACCATTGAAGTTTTTATATCCTTTAGATATTAGTATTAAAGAGAAGATAGAGGCCATAGCAAGGTCATATGGTGCTAGTGGAGTCGAATACTCGGAACAGGTAGCTTCTGCTCCATTACTGGTTCAGGTTAAATATTGCTTGATTAAATCTTTGAAATTCGAGTAAACAAACTTTGACTTAAAGTTTAGGAGATCACTGCCAGTTGATGTTTTTTGCTCTTGGCCCTAGTCGCCATGAACGTTCTTCCAACTGGTGACAACTACACATCATTCGGATGAATGGTAGAATAGTTATAAATAATTTACTGTATAAGCGAAAATGTGATCGTGTTTGTTTGTCTTTTGGAAAGATTTTTACATGATAAAACTTATGAAAAAAGTTGTTTTCCGTGCAAATAGGCAGAGAAACAGATTGAGATGTACAGCAGGCAAGGGTTTTCAGGGTTACCTATTTGCATGGCAAAGACTCAATATTCATTTTCACACAATGCTGGTGAGAAGGGAGCCCCTAGCGGATTCGCCTTACCAATAAGGGATGTGAGGGCTAGTATTGGTGCAGGATTCATATACCCTTTGGTTGGATCAATGAGTACTATGCCGGGACTTCCGACAAGGCCGTGTTTCTATGACATTGACCTCGACACCACTACTGGAAAGGTTATTGGTCTCTCTTGAAGGTCTCTGTATTCGCCCTGTTCAGGCGCTTACTGTGGCAGCCGGTGGCCAAACTTAGGCTGACTTTCAGTACCCAGTAGTTATGATGCTTTTCTTTGAAATTGTACTCTGCTCTTACGTACCCTGCAGCTTCCTGTGTAATTGATCTTGTGCAACCAAATAATGAATTCTAAAAATAAAAAAGAGTATGTTTTAAGTTTGAATGCCATGAATGAGAAGCCCAAGTTCACAATTATTAACTCATGTTTATCACCAAAACCATCAACTCATTACTCATTACCATATCTATTTCTCATATCTTATATGTTGCCCGCCCTCCTAAATTCCAAACAATATTCATAATAAATAAACAAATGCATAGAAGTTTGACAGTAAGAATTTGGCATACGCGTGACTTAATTATAACCAAAAGGAAGTAAATAGAATGCCCTACTCGTAATTGGCCATTAAATTTTTATAATTAGCAGAGTCTTTTAAAAATCACAACAAATTAGGCATTCAACCATATCCCATATCGCTATACCAACAGGGGTTATCAGATAAAGTCCTCTCTAGAAGCTTTGGACGTTTGATGCTTTTTCCAACTCATCCTATCTGAACGTTAATATAAATATATATATATATATATATATATATTTTGTGATGGCCTATATCTAAAGATAAATTTGTAATGCAGTGTTATGGGGGAAAATATGGAGGACATATGGAGCGAGGACAACTTGACACGTGGCCTTAACCTCTCCTCGCAAAATAGAACCCTCGACGTTTGAGACCCCCTTCCCTTCCGTCGTTAAGAGCCCGAGTAAGAAGCCCAACTTAGGGCGTCGATTTCATCTGACGTCGATAGGTCGTACCGTCAACCTTACAACATAGAAGTCCACCGCCAAGAAGAACAATTGGGCTAAACAACACTGGCGACGAAGGGAATGCTTCTTGGGGGAAAGCCTGACGTGGCAAGCTGTGTAAGGGATATCCACAGTACAGGCATTAAATGCAAACCCTTAAACTGCCCCTACGGGGGACAGAAAAGGGTTACAGCTGTGCACAGAGCCGTGATGGGAGACTAATTGGCTGAGTGAACAGTGCGCAAAAAATGATTAGTGGGCTACGGGATGGGCCTAGAAAGGCAGAGCACTTGAGTGCTTGTTCAGCCTATAGGAGAAAACCCCTCCAACAAAGGAAGCTCGGCTATAAAAAGGAGAGAAACCTCATACGGAAATGAGGTTGATCTTTAGAGAGAAAAGAACGAGAGAGCAATTTGTAAATTGTAACAATCTCAAAAGAAATAAAAACAAAACCACAGTGGATGTAACTCTTCATTTTATAAGAGTAAACCACTATAAGCCTTATGTGTTTTTTCTACTTCAAGTATTTTTTCTTATATTGCTCACTACACAAAAAATACCACAAGCACATCAAACTCCTACATATAACCTATTTTTAAGCCGGTAATCCAATGGGAAACCCAGAGGTAAACCGGCCTGTTTTTGTTGGTGAAAATTCACCGTCAACAATTGGCGACTCCGCTGGGGACTGAATGCGTTTGACCCCCAACAACAACAACATAGTCAGCAAGCATGCCTCCAAGAAGAAGAATTGAGGCCAACAACCAAGGTAGCCAGATGGACAAGACCGCCACTCATCCGGTGAAGGACGG